TAATTTTTCTCATCCATTCTCTTCTGTCAGCCGTCAGCTCAACATTCACTCCTCTCTCTCTCATATCCTCATTCACCCACTCCATTCATGTTTTCTTTGGCCGACCTCTTCCCTCTCTACCTTGCACTACCATTTCCTTTAATTTAATTTCTGCTAATTCATACTATTTTCATTTCGCACCTATTAAATTTTCATATAGCCAAAGGCTTAGAATTTTACTAAAAAAAAGTATAGATTTTATTATTATGAAACAAAAGATACGCTCTTCAAAATCGAACAAAACATCTTAATACGTTGTATTGCATCGGCATTGAAGCGATAAACAATAAAATTCTATTTTTGGAATTAATTATCAGTTCACATCGGAACAATGTGCTATCGTTACGTGTTCTATTTTCAGGGCCGGATTTAGACTTAATGCTGCTCCTGGGCACCGGAAAAAATCCGCCCCAATACTAGAATTTTAGCTAAACTTATCTAATATATAAAATTCTCGTGTCACAATGTTCGTTCCCATACTCCTCCGAAACCGCTTGACCGATTCTCATAAAAAAAATTATGCATATTCAGTAAGCCTGAGAATCGGCTACTATCTATTTTTCATACCCCTAAGTGATTAGGGTTGTCCACCCCTAACATTTTTTTTTTATTTGGACATTTTTTTTTGTTATAATGAGGTATTATGTGGTTGAATGAGGTTTTGTTATTTTTATTATATATTCCCTCATCGTTTACAGCGCTACATACCTCTTTCACTCATTTACCACATCCTTACACACTTACAATAAGTTAGTTTTTTTTTCTACACTAGAAATTCCCTATAAACCTTATATATGGCAAAACAATGTTTGCCGGGTCAGCTAGTAGTTTATATATTTTATTTTTCAAAATTAAAATAACTGATTTATTGCAGAAGCTTTATCATAATATGTTATATATTTCAAAAACATAAATTAATATCTGTTTTTTTCTAACAATTATAAATTTTGCACTAAGGGTGCAAATTAATTATTTATTATTATTCTCTATTAGGTATTCTTTAATTACAGAAAATGAAAAAATCGATTATTATTTCAAATGTCCAAGAAAATAAATTGTTAAATCATTTTGATTATTAATTTTTACCAAAAGTTCCAAAATTATAATTCACAAATAATGGATGAATTGAATTTGTTGAATTATCAATTAAACAGAAAATTATTAATTAATAGAATTAATTAATTATACTGAACAATTTTGCTACGACAAAAAAAAATTCTTTCAAAAATTTGCCGCCCGAAAAAATTTGCCGCACTGGGCACTTGCCCCAACCGCCCCTAGTGTAAATCCAGCACAGTCTATTTTCATCATTGTAATGTCTAATTTCAAACGAAACACGTCAACTGGTAGGTACCGCGTTTAGCGCTGACACGAAACTGACGAAGCTGACGCGAACCTCGACGCGTATACACGAACTCGTAACAAACAATCAGATCGACACGTGCTTTGAATAACGACGATGCGCGGAATGTAGACGTCCACTGAATTGGAATTTGTGTGAGGATACGTGATACACAAATTGTTTACATATGAACAGTGCCAATGAAATGTTAAACGGCGTGATTGTAGATGGGATATAAATATTTTTTGGTACATCTCGTGATCATGTATCAGACCTCAGGCTCTGGATTGCGATAGCGGAAGGCTGTCTTAAGACTATTTTAATTACAGTCATTAGTATTTAAATAATCACATCTAAATACATTTCTTTTTCTTTTCGATTTATATTTAATATCTCCCATTGATTCATGATTCAGCAGAAGACTTTCTAAATCATTAAAAGTCTTCGTGACTTAAGAAAATACCTCTTATAACGACTCTTGTAAGTCCTCTTGGCTCATAAATAATCCTGTTAACATCTATTTTGAGTCCCTTTGATTTTTTTAATTCGAATCAATAAGCCTTATTCTAATATTTCCCTTTTAATACACTGATTAGAAAAACTTGTCTTTATTAACTTGTTTCTGTGTTATCCCACTGAGTTTCTCGCAGATCTTCTCAGTGGGTCGTAATTCCGATCCGGTGGTAAATTCTGTAAAGCACAGCCCTTGCTAGGGCTAGTGTTACTAAATTCTCTTAGGTTGAGCCGGTGAGCTCACCTACCCGTCCGGTCATATCAGGAATAGGGCCTTAGGTTACCAGTGAATAAGTAGGGGGAAAAATTGTTCTGTTGCTCCCTGAAAGCGCTTAAACCGTAGGTACGTGCGAAGTTTAAAAGTTTGTTTACTGGAATCTATATATTAATACGTGAAGCAAAAACTTTGTATCCCTTTTTACGAAAATTGCGCGGACGGTGGAGTATGAAATTTTCTACACCTATAGAGAATATAGAGAAGAAGTGCATAATGCTAATATTTTTTTAAAATAATGCATAAAAGGTACATTAAATCAATAAAGAAAACATTACACACACTACATACCATGTATTTGACGCACACACGCAAGCATACTATTTATTGTCAAACTTTTGTTCTTGACGTCTGTGGTCAAATTGAGAATAGATCAAATATTGTTTGTCTTTATTAATATTTTTTTATAGTGTAGCCTTGGCAAAATTTGTGATTACAGAAGTACAAAATACAATCATAATAGTGTACAAACTTACAATTTCAATTAATTATAGTCGAATTTCGACTACTGCGGGGCCACTAGTTCAATTAAATATCGTAACGATTCATTCAAAAACGAGAATATGTCATTGACCGAATGCGAACGAAAGAAAGTCATTACGGCTAAGGTATTTTAATTAACATCAACGGAATGTTCCCTACAAAACAAAAAAACCTTTTGAACGTAATTCACTAGAAATATTAATATTATTAGTTCTTTTCGATTCGTAGGGCTACGGAAACGGTCGATATTCGGTCTCTCGGGTCACTGATTCGAGGCCAGGCTCACGAGCATTACACCCGTGAAGTTAATTAGCGGATATGCCTTCACGCGTTTCTGGAGGCTAAGGCGTTGTCACAAGGTGGGTAAGTAATCGCTTAGCATCATCATCATCATCATCATCATCATCATCATCAGCCTTTATCTGCCCACTGCTGGACATAGGCCTTATAGGACATAGCATCAGGTAGGCTGAAATGAGCCAATAATACTCAAAATACGCAACGATTATAAAGTTCATGTCCACAATTGACTTCCACGATGAACGAATAACATTGTGTCATAAAAGAAGTTTAGAAAGAAGAAAAAAAACGTTATTACGTAGGTAATATGCAGTGGATATAAACCTGAAATATAAAGGTATGTTCGGTAGGCATAGGTTGGGGAGTCTACGGGTTCCGGCAACCCCTTAAATACAGAGAGCTCCATGGGGCTGTGAGCTTAAGGAATAAAATAAAAACAGTGTCGGTAGTAATAGTTAGTCTAGGCTGTTTAATTAGTTCGCGGGGACCTCGTAGAAGGTTCGGCCCACAGCCTGAGAAAAAAAGGACTGTTTAGTTAGATACCTTTAGTTAAATAGTACAGTTGGCCTTTGAAAAAAATATTAGCGACAGTTAATGGCTAAATTTGGGCTGTGGTACTATTGATTTTCAAGATCAATGTTGTATGTTCTTAAGTATATTTTTCATGCCTTGAGATGCCATTTCAGCGTAACCTTAACAAGTAGGTGAGCTCACGGGGCTCAAACCTGACGACGTCCCTAACACTAACCCTAGCAAGAGCAGTGTTTCGCAGAATTTACCACACCACCGGATCGGAAACGCGACCTACTCAGAAGATCCGGCGAGAAACTCAGTGGGCTGTGTCTGTGGGTAAATTTACTCGCCGAGCTTGTCGTCGCAAGCGACGGATTTGACGAGAACGATGAACGGGACTTAAGGGTAAGAAACCGAAATTGACAAGATAAATTTTTATTGTTTATTTTTTAATTACTGGCCAACAGACCAAAAGACTAATTAATTTATTATTGTTATTAATTATAAAAAAGTAATTCAACTAATTTTCTCTAAGTCAAGCTTACAGAAAACTAATTCACAAATGTAAAGTTTGTTAAATCAAACTTGTACAATTGAGTATCTATAAATTCCTGTTTAAATGGCTTTTAGTTGTAATTACGCTTCTTCGGAAAACCAAACTATTTTGGAACGTTAAATAAGTACTTGCAAACAAATAACATCGAGTCGAAGTTAAAATGACGCTTTCTCGACCTGTTACACAATAAATTCTTAATAACCATTTGTTCTCGTACACCGTTTGAGTCTCCTTCAAGTAAGGGACACTGATTACAAGTAATTTCCGAGGTGCTTACAAAGTGAAATTGTTTACGGAAATTCCTTTAAATACTGCCTTTGAAGGCGTTTTCATGGAAATTTATTAGAAAGTCAGAATTATAAATTCATTGAAGTTATTTCATTGAGTTTATTATATATTATGACGAAGTCTGAAAGTGGCACCTGTGACAGAGAAGCTGAGGAGTGCGCGTTTGGGATGGTATGGACATGTGATGAGACGAAATGAAAATGAGGTTGGTAAGAGAGTGTTAATTATGAATGTTGAAGGATACAGAGGAAGAGGTAGACCTAAGAAGAAATGGATGGATTGTGTGAAAGACGATATGGGTAAGAAGGGAGTGAGCGAAGAAATGATATATAATAGAAGAGTATGGAAGGAGAAAACATGTTGCGCCGACCCCAGGTGATTGGGAAAAGAGCAGGATAATGATGATATATTATTATGACCTATTTTAATTGAGAAGTTCTCCTAAAATAATGTAGTTAAAAAAAACGAATTAAAACATGATACGTTATTTTATTATGCTCACTATTACAATGCAATGAAAATTAAGAAAAAATAACTCACATGAATAAAACCTTCGTTGAAAACAATGAAATCGAGTTTGAAGTAAAAATAGATATTATTAGATATAAATTTTAAATAACCTCTAAAGCTCAAGAAAACAAACAAAAAAACTTATTTCACATTATTAATGAAGCTTTTGAAATTAAGCTTACCTGACACTCGTAAGTACCATTGTCTCTCTTTTGAACAAACTTAATCTGCAGAGTCCAATCTTCAGAACCTTCGCCGTGTAAGACCTGAAAACGCATCAATTCTGTTAAGGACCTTTGTAAAAATATCTTTTGTGTCCTAATGTTGTAGTAGTATAGTCGATCTGAGTGTGTGGTCACTTTTTTTTATATTTTTTATTGCTTAGATGAATGGACGAGCTCACAGCCCACCTGGTGCTAAGTGGTTACTGGAGCCCATAGACATTTACAACGCAAATGCGCCACCCACCTTGAGATATAAGTTCTAAGGTCTCAGTATAGTTACAACGGTTGCCCCACCCTTCAAGCCGAAACACATTACTGCTTCACGTCAGAAATAGGCGGGGTGGTGGTACCTACCCATGCGGACTCACATGAGGTCCTACCACCAGTAAAAGTCACTTTGAATTGAATTGTCTATTGTAGCGTTAGATATTATTATACTGGCAACAACTGGAATTGTGCTATTGACATTGTTATATTGCATAGATCTAAGTTGCGTACAAGCAAATTCGGACCGTCGGTCTATCGTGCATAGAGTTTTATTGGTGGTAAGGCATACTGTAGACCCGCACGGGCAGTTTTTTTAACCGACTTATTTCTGTCACAGGATTGTTGTCTAGTTTGAGACGTGAGACAGTCATTACAAAACTAAATTGAGACTTAGACCTAATGAGCACTGAACATTAGGCGGGCTGTGAGCTTATTCACGCGTTAGTACAGTAGAAAATAAGCCCATTATATTATTAAGCACCTATGAATTTAAAGTTGTGGTCGTAGCCATCAGAGAACACAAGATATTTGACCGATGTCTGAATCTCGCTTACGACATTTTCAAGATAAGCTTATATATACAAGTTCCGAAACCAACATTCGGACCCTTCGGAAGATTTTCCCTTTGTCGTATACCTCCACAAAGTATATATTTTTACTGCCCTTGTAGGCAGATGAGCATGCGGCCCACCTGATGGTGAGTGATTACCGTCGCCTGTGGACTTCAGCAATGCCAGGAGCAGAGTCAAGTCACTGCCTACCGACCAAGCTGCTGCCTATTAGCTCTTTATTGTTGGATTTGATTTTGAAGTGCTTTCTAAGCATCATGCCTAAACCAATTTGATAGTCAGTACATGGAACTTACGCAAATACGTATTTATATAGCTTTGTAGGTTAATTGCGTGGTCTACCAGAAACAATACAGCTTAGCCAGGAATTTGTGCTAACCGCGCCCCACACCACTATAGGTGAACTAAATATTTAGATGTGAAACACGTGCCTAATTTATGTGTATTATCTATGGCCTCGTGTACGTAGCTGATATTATATTTCATCCCATATTATATCATATCTCATCTCATTTCATTTCAATACATTTCGTTTTCATTTCATTTCATGCCATGTTTAATTTTTTTTTGTGTTGTTGCTTATATGGTTGGACGAGCTTACAGCCCACCTGGTGTTAAGTGGTTACTGGAGCCCATGGACATCTACAACGTAAAAGTGCCACCCACCTTGAGATATAAGTTCTAAGATCTCAGTATAGCTACAACGGCTGCCCTACCCTTCAAACCGAAACGCATTACTGCTTCACGGCAGAAATAGGCAGGGTGGTGGTACCTACCAGCGCGGACTCTCAAGAGGTCCTACCACCAGTAATGATCAGTCATATTATTCAACTTCATTTCAATTCATAATATTATTATCAATTATCATGTAAAAAAGTTTTCTTTAAAATTAAAATAAGACTTGACCTAAAGTTCTTAGTTAGTAGGTCACAAAATCCCTATAAAAAAAAATCTAGTAAAAGGAAACTATGTATGTCCCGCTTCTTCGTCTGCATTCAATTTTAATTTACGTCCTTTTCTTGCTAGGGATAAAACTTTAAATTATTGATTTTAGAATCTCCAAATACCCTGAACTGTTTTTCATTTCCGCGTATCTTTAGTTATCGAGTAAGTGTTTTTTGTACGTTAAAAAAAACTTTAAAAGCCAGAAAGCTATAGTCAAAGTCGTATTCAAAGAAAAGCTCAGTAAGTATGTTTGTTTCGATTTGCAGTTTTTAATGAGGAAAACAAATGTTTTATGGAGATATTTTCGGTGAAATTTTTTATTTGAAGTCAAAGAAGACAGGTATACAACTTATTATGAATTCTTCGGCATCCACCTTATTATCTAGTTAAGGAAGTTTTATTGACAGATCCTGCGTGATGTTGCAGGATCAATCAAAGTAACGTTAAATTTAATAAAAGGTATCGCGTTACGTACCTGAAATCTCTCGTCGTTCGTGTAAGTAAATTTCCCGGAGCTCAAAATGTGCCAGTCACGTTTCCTGATCCAGGAGACTTGCTGTTAGAAAATACAATTTTAATATTCATCGTGAAATTGGGAAAACAGAGTTTAAGTATTACACGCTGGGGTTCGGGATAAATAAATGCTCCACCAGAGTACAACTTAAAACTATATTTATCACTTAGTACACTAACAGAACACTTTAAAATTCTCAATTCGCTCCTTCCGCTTCGCTTCAGGTGATGCGTTTGTTGTGTTTCGATTCGAGTAGTTCCGATAACTAACTGACTGTGTGCCTGGGCAAGTCGAGTAGCTTCGATGTTTCTGCTATCTAACAATAGATGGCGTTGTGCTTCTCGATTTTACTAGTACCTTCTATATTTGTTTCGGCTATTCGGCGATAGATGACCTTGCTTTTACCGGCAACGGCATAACAATATGTTCAATCTATATAATTCGTGATTCACGAGGGAGTGCTGTAAGTCATGGAGTCTAGAGTACGTAGAACCTCAAAAGGGACTCGAGAGGATTTTGATATTAGAAACAATGATTTTAGGTTTAAAAAAACAAATTGGTATGTTGTATCGACTATAAAAATATCGACAAGTAGGTATTTGCTCTGGTATTGAGGTAAAAAAAATACACAACACACAAATTTGTAATCTGTTTGTAAAAAGTAGACATTCTGTAATTTTTTTTTCTGTTATGTTTAACACTCGTGTGGCTATAGTACCTCATACCTTATCATTATTAAAATCATTTGCGTTTGAAGTATTTTTTTTCCCTACCTATGCTGATAGCTTTGAGAGGCTATACCAGCTAGCGTGTAGGTGAGCTTTCGGGGCTCAAGCCAAAGGTGTTGCTAACACTGGCCCTAACAAGAGCAGTGCTTCGCAGAATCCACCACCGGATCGAAAACGCGACCCACTGAGAAGATCCAGCGAGAAACTCAGTGGGCTGTGTTTATAGGCTAATTTACTCGTCGAGCCCTTCGTCGCAAGCGACGGGTTCGGCGAGGACGGTGACCGGTGCTAGACGTACCTAAAAGCACCGTTGATGGATCGGGAGGATCCGTAATGACGTGTTTAGGGCGACGTCGACTGTTTACCATTCGGTCCACAGGATCCGGTATGAGCAAAAGTCATTAGCATTGCCAGAAGCACGGTAAAACCGCATTCTACCAAAAGGCAACTCAGTTTAAGTTGGTAAATCTAGAGAAGCGTGAGACACATGCAGTCTCTCACGTTTTCAATTTTCTTTGTAGTGTCTATGCTACTTTTATAATTTTTTATTACTTAGATGGGTGGACGAGCTCATGGTCCATCGTTGTTAAATGTTTACCGGAGCCCACCTTGAGATATGAGTTCTAAGGTCTCAGTTCTTACAACGGCTGCCCCACCCTTCAAATCGTTACTGGTTTACGACAGAAATAGGCAAGGTGGTGATACCAACGCGTGAGGACTCACAAGACGTCCTGCCATCAGTATGGTAAATACTGTTGAAAATGAGACCTTATAACTTATGTCTCAAGGTGGGTGGCGACATTTGCGTTGTAGATGTCTATGGACTCGTCTGGGCCGTGAGCTCGTCCACCCATCAAAGCAATAAAAAAAAAATGATTGCAATGCATCTATAGAAATAAATAAAATTGGAGTCTATTTGTAATAATAAAATAACCACTTTTTACTAAATGCATGTATACCACAGTACATATACCAAAACATTAATTTTTTAATTTTTGTCTGTCTGTCTTTGTTCCGGCTAATCTCTAGAACGGCTGGACTGATTTTGACGAGACTTTCACTGATAGGTAGCTGATGATATAAGGAGTAACTTAGGCTACACTAGCTTCAGCGATTATTGTCGTATCGCGGGTAACATCGTGGGACTCAGCTGTCGTAAATGAAAATGATTTGAAAGGATTATTTAACCCACCCCTCTCTCGCTGAGATGCCCAACTAAACAGTGGAGGTAGGCGGTTCCGCCTAGTTGTGCAGTGATGTTGCTGACCGAGTTATTGGCGGCCGTTTCAACAGTTTGCTGGGTCCCTGCACGCCAACCCCTTGCCCTCGACGCTCCGTGGTGCCCTGAGAAATATGTAATTATTTTTTGTTACCTATTCACTAGTAGGCTAAGGGGCTATTCCAGGTATACGCGGACGGGTAGGTGAGTTCACGGGCTCAACTTGAGAGAATTTGCTTGGGTAAGTTCACGGGCTCAACCCTGAGAGCTTTTGCTAATACTAGCCCTAGCAAGAGCAGTGCTTCGCAGAATCTACTACTGGATCGGAATCGCGACCCGCCGAAAAGATCCGGCGAGAAACTCAGTCAGATTATGTAGATCATCTCGGTTTTTTTTCAGGGTATCAACACGTAATTTTGACGCATATTTTTCATTTAACACCTTTGAATACCTTTGATAATTGTTAAAAGTAATCGCCTGATCCGGTGCAATCTTAATCTGTGTGCACATATAGAAGTCGATGTACGTACGTTTCCCGCAGAATCCGATACGCCTGGACGGTTTCTGATGAAAATTTCAGAAAATCTTCAGGTCATCGATTCCAGTAATTTTATGAGGTTTGGTAACGACCAAATTTAAGTTAAATCAGAGATCGACCAGCGGACTGAGTTTATCTAGTATGCTATAGAAAATAGATGTTATTTAATATGAAATTGACATTAACAGAAATCCTAAACGAATCTGTGATGTATTTTTACTTGAGTTCATTGAGCGCATTATGGCGCGAGTTGACACATCTATATTTGAATGCTTCTTTCTTTACACTGTTTGTGCATTACGTAAAAATAATTTAAATTTTTAACTTTTAACAAGAACTAGCCTCCGTCCTGACAAGAATTGGCAAGAAACTCAGCGTGCATCTTTTTTTTTTTTTAATAAGAAATTTTTATTTATAATTTTTTTAATATTAGTTTTTTTTTTAAAGCGTTGTTGTTGAAAAAATCATTAAATGCTTAAGCGACATCACTAATTTACAACTTTAGCATATTCTTCGTTCTTATATTATTTATTATCTTGTCGATTTATTCAATGTAATTACTATATTTCAAATGGTTTTAATTAACCTTACATTATTAGAGCTAAAACCACGATATCTTCGCACCATTTAATACTGTCATTACAAATTGTGTTTGTCTGTTTAATTTTATATATACATAGCTGTTTCGTTACACTAACATAACAATATTATTATTAATTAATATAGTCCTCCAGCGTATCATATCAATTTCAGAAAACACTCATCTAGTGGAATTGTCAATTTACCCACAATAATACACGTGTTTGAACTATATATAAGGGATCTAAATTGTTTTGAGAATAATAGTTATAGTTTACAATTAAACTTTTAGCTATTTATTTAGCGTTATTTAGCGTTAATTTATTTAGCTATTTATTTATTAAATAAATATTATTTATTTATCCTTCTTCAAACGAGGCTTGTGGAGAGTATTAAGCGGTAGGCAGCGGCTTGGCTCTGCAACTGGCATTGCTGAAGTCCATGGGCGACGGTAACCACTCACCATCAGGTGAGCCGTATGCTCGTCTGCCTACAAGGGCAATAAAAAAAAGAAGATTATTTTAAAGTTGTAGTGAATTGTTCGCACCGGCTGACTTTTTGGGGTCCTAAGCTTGCACTTTTTCTAATAAAATTAACTAATACGTATTGTAAAATGATATGCGCATGAACTATAGTTTTGCATAATTACCCCTATACCAATATGTAAGAGATCGCTCTAAGCGCCAATTTAAGCACTGTTTGATTGGTGGTGAATCTGGTGGTAGGACCTATTGTGAGTCCACGCGGGTAGGCACAACCACCCTGCTTATTTCTGCCGTGTAGCAGTAATGCGTTTCGGTTTGAAGGGTGAGGCAGCCGTTGTAGCTATACTTGAGACCTTAGAACTTATATCTCAAGGTGGGTGGCGCATTTACGTCGTAAATGTCTATGGGCTCCAGTAACCACTTAACATCAGGTGGGCTTTGAGCTTGTCCACCCATCTAAGCAAAAAAAAGAATTATTATGTTTATTGCAATATAGATTCTCAATAGCTATCTCTACATTTAAATGCGATGATTTGAAACGTCTGAGTTTATATCCAATGGACTGATCCCAGACAGTTACGCGTGGTAAAGTTAAAACTCATTTATCTGTCGCTTGATTAAATTCTAAGGCAACTTTGTCGAGTCCTTGGGAAGTCTAGACTTCTAGTAATAAGAGCAATATAATCAAATTTGTTCAACACACACACTGTTCAATTAAAATGTTTGAGGCGGCCAGTTCGTTCACCTCTTAACATTCGGACTAAATTAAAATAGCTGGGCTTAGTTGTTATGTAGTCTGTGGACATCACAATCTGAATCCACCGTGAAAATTGTGATTTTAATTATATTCTATTGGAGTGATATGGGAAGCAAGTTTAGCAATACAATTGAGAATTAGTCTTAGTGTCTACAGGTTCCTGTAACATTCACGTTTTTGATGTCTATGGGCTCCAGTCACCACTTAAAAACAGGTGGGCCGTAAACTCGTTCACCCATCAATAGAAAGGTAGGAAAGTATGATGAGAATACTTTCGTTACTGTTTTTATTGCTCAAATTGACCTCATTTGGGTCTTGTTCTTTTAAGCCACGACGACTTTTTCATTAATAGTCGACGGTATGGAATATATTATTAGGCAGTCAGCACAAAAGTGACTTAATCCACAATTTTTTCATATTCGTCCTTCTAAGTATATTGCAATTTATTTAAAACCTATTAAAACAAGACCTATCCCGGGTTTCACCAATAGATAGCTGTTGGCTTTTAAACATTATTTTTACGAGCATTATTTTTACGGGTACTGTGCTTGCCTACGAAGCAGTTTAAAAGTAAATCCAAGTCTTATTATCTTCATACCAACTATGATATGCTTAGGCCACTTTCGCACTGACGGCCTCATATCTATTACATTAATACAAAACCCACTTATATCTCCCGTTGAAGACGTGATCAAAGGCAGCATCCAGAACACTGCTGCAGCTAGCTGTATTCCCATTCCGCCTGTACGTTTCCATTTCATCTGGAACCAATTGAAAGAGAACGTTAAATCGCGCTCCGTTAAGTGCATTTTGGCGTTAACAATAAATTTAATATGTGCTTAATGGATTTTAGTCTGAGATATTTGGAATTTCGTTGCTAAAGACTTAAGATTAGGGAATTTTGTGTGACTTGTGTAGGTATGTGTGGTACCCATTTCTCATGCCTATTTCTACCCTGAAGTTATGGGTTCGGATTTCAAAGGGACGTCAGAAACAGTGGTTGATGAAATTTAAATCTGAAAAAAATATTGTTACGCGCTGGGGCTCGGGATAAATAAATGTTCCACCAAAGTACAACTTAAAATTGTATTCAACACTTAGAACACTTAAAACACTTCACAAACACTTTAAAATTCTCAATTTGCTTTTTCCGTTTCGCTTCAGGTGATCCGTTCGCTGTTTCGCTTCGAGTAGTTCCGAAGACTAACTGACTGCGTGCCATCTCTGCAACGCTTTTATAGCCGATACCACATTCCTAGAATTAGCGAGAATATTCCACACATTTCGAGTATTTTGTTTCGTCTATCTGACAATAGATGGCGTTGTACTTCTCACGCGTTCTAGATGCTACTAGATCCCTTGATATTCGTTCGACTATACGGCGATAGATGGCGTTACACTTACCGGCGTAACAATATATTTGAAGCGCGTCTTAAGATACTTTTGTCATCTTTTTAGTTTTAAATACAGGTTTTTGAATAAATGCTTATATACCAGCAATAATTGCTAGCTAATAATTTTTCATCATATTTATCATTCACATAATAAACAATATTCAATTTTGTTTTCAATTACGACATCCTGCAAGTCTTATCTAAGTTGTTTTTTATCTCCAAATCAAATATAAGGCACGCACAATGTTATAATAGCTTTTTTTTTTGTTAAATTACTATTGATTTTCGCTCGTTAAATATAAGGTATTTTTCATAGTCAAATAAAAAATAAAAACAGAAGATTGACTCGACAGAAAAATGTTATGAATTCTCTTGGTTATTCAAAGTGTTTCGATAAATAAGATCGAGGGGTCCTTAGAGTGTCTTTAGCCAGCTACGAAATCAGTTTCCGTCCATTTATTGGTGTCAATCAGTCGCTAACACAGTGACGGACTTGGCGTTATATGAAGACTATAATTTATTCTATACATTACAACACCGGAAAGCAGTATTTTATCCCAGTGGATACTCGTGCAAGAAGTATAATTATTATCAAGTAATCCAATTCTAAAAAATTGCAATATATAATCAGACAAAATAGTTTACTTAAAGCTTTTATTTTATTTGAGTAAATTGTTCTTAAAAATATAAATGTGCAAACAGCAAAGGCAATTAAGTACAATTTTCCTCTCGTCTGCTAACGCCTTTGCTTTATTTGCATATTTAGTGATTTAGTGCTTACATTAAAGTACATTTTAAAATAATACTACAATATTGATTACTTAGTTACCATTCGTTATTGTAACTAAGTAATCAATAGTAATCACTACTAATTATTTTAGTTTTTCTTCTAACTCTTCGGTCTTTATAGTCGTAGACTACCTATTAATGTTATATTCACTATTTGATCTCGCATTTTTATTGTCATTATTTTATTACCGACGTTTCGACACGCTTTTCAGTTTTTATGATGGCGGACATTAATTTAATTGTAAAGTTAAACTAATAATACTTTGACCCCCTCCATTCCGTCCCAAATCCATCCTACTACAGATCTTCGAACAAATCACAAGTTCAATGAGTTCTCTTCGCCTTCTACGCAATTTTCTTTTAGGACTAGAAAAATATTCGCCTCTACAATCTCCACGAATGGCTTCATTCTGTCTAGCGCTTATGTGTAGAATGAGGTGACCACACTTTTCTGTATAAAAATATAAAATGTATGTTACATTGATATACGTTCAACTTATCCGTATTTGAGCAAACACGTCATGTGTCACGTCTCGTGGTTTTTTTATTAACCCTGACCATTAAGGAGAAGTGGCACACGTACTCAGAGAATATAACAGAAATACTAATTATTACATTGACAATTTAATTTACTAAAGTGAAACTTTTATTACATCGTCTCAAATTAACCACTTAACATCAGGTGGGCTGTGAGCTCGTCCACTCATCTAAGCAATAAAAAATAAAAAAACCTTTTCGTCTGTGTGTTGCATGTCGCGTGACGGTCGGCCGCGGATTAGGGATAAAGTGAAAGGCGCTCGTCAGAGCAGCCAAGGCCAATATGGCGGCGCCCATAGTTTGCAGCAGCTGACCGTGTAGTGTTTAGACTATTACTCATTTGTGCCAGTGCTCCACGCTATTTTTGTTGTTTTTTTTAATATGTATATATATAATCTAAATAATTGTTAAGTATTATGCATGTCGTACTCTAAGACACAGAGTTCAATAAAAATATTAGTTGGAGACTTAAGTAGTCTATTTTTATCATTTCCCATTATAAATTATCATTCCAATTTTCCAAGTATAAAATTAAGATTGATAAAGCGATTTTTATACCCTTAATGGAATATTATTCCAAAAATGTTTAGTTAAATGTCTATAATGTGAAAAAAGTTTCACTTTTACCGTGGTTTCATAAAACCACACAATCATTTTTCTGTTCTACTTAAATTAGTCGAATTATTTGAATACACGCTTTGTCTTACGCTCTTTTGAGTCGCACTCATTTCAACTCATAATAGTCTGCGTATATCTAATTCGCTCGCTTTTTGACGATGACTTGTCATAGTGATAAAATGAGTTTTCGATTCACTTTGTTGTATCTTGATAGAATTAGTTACAGTAAATTCAAATTTTTTTTTTCTACAATCTATTAAGAAATACATGTAGCTTAAAATAACAACAACAGAATTTTTTTATTTTACATATATTTTTTTTTATTTTGGTTCGTCAACATTAACAAATTTCATATATTGTTATTGGACTTTGATTTGTGTGCCATTTAACGGAGCACGTTAATGTTTGTAAAAATTACATTGTAAGATTTCATTACACAGATGCATGTTAAAATAATAAGAGTGTGTTAATAACGAGACGTCTAGCGTATGCACTTATGCAATTATAATATGTTATTCAATAAATTCCTTTCTTTCATTACTGTGCTTAACGATGGTAGAAACACAAAGAAATGAATGCTATGTCCTTCGTGAGATTTAAGGGAAATCTCAATTGTTTTACAGCTACCCCACCCTTTAATCTGGAACTGCTTTTTTTCGAAATCATTAAAGATTAATGATTTCAGCAGAAAGCATTAAAAGACAGTAAGGCTCTAAGACCAGACTCATGTAGGCTCCAAACGAGTCCATATAACTAGTCAAAAAAATTATAATTTGCGTAATTACTGGTGGTTGGACCTCTTGTGAGTCCGCACGGGTAGTTACCATCATCCCGCCTATTTCTACCGTGAAGCAGCAATGCGTTTCGGTTTGAAGGGTGGGTTAGCCGTTGTAACTATACTAAGACCTTCGAAGGTGGGTGGGGCATTTAAGTTGTAGATGTCTATGTCACTGGAGTGACCACTTAACACCAGGTGGGCTGTGAGCTCGTCCAACCATATAAGCAATAACAAAAAAAAACATATTGTTACAAAATTTGAAAAAAAAACTCGTGTTCAAATTTTATGTACCTATTTACTACATAATTACTGCTTGACAGATAATTTTAATTCCTCATATGGTCGCATCACTCGATATGAATACTTCGGACGTCTTTCTTGTCTATACACAATGCAATGAAAGCTATGTCCACGTTTTCACTTTAACCATGGGCACCGTAGCACATAGCCTATTCCTTGTGCTAAACAGGGTATAAAAGGAAATTGTCTTTGAAATTTTGTTTAGATAGGGAGAAGCGGCATTGTCCTGGCTTCGGTTGACGACGAATTTTCATGTTTTACGAAATTAGCCCGATCTAGATTCTTTAGTATTTAACGTTCATTTTGTCGTGAGCAAAATTGTACTTGTGTATAGATAGCAGCAGGTCGCGACATTTGAAAATCAGATGAGAAGAAACTCATTTTTTTGAAGTGAAACTTCTTTAGGCGCATGATGGTAAAATTTTTACAGAACGTCACGCAGGTATGCAACGGAAGTGACATCAAACTACTATTGAAATTAAGTACTTGTCAAATGTCAGTAGTAGCAGTTGTATTTTTCCAACTGGAAAGGCAAATTTATCATACCATACAGCCTAATATTTTATAATTTTTTTGTGAAAAATGTTAATAGGAATTGAAATGATATGAAAAGAATTTGGAACATTAATCAAATAGCATGAAATTAAATTAGTCAATTCAATTGGCAAAATATTAGTCATTTACAATTTAGAAATCTAAACATAATGTGACTGTCAACACTGAGGTTTGAGATTGACATTTGACAGACTTTTGGCGGGAACATATCTTCCTTTTTCCCTTCCTCAAGTCTCGGAAATCTAAAGTGTCAGATTTGTATAAATATAAGCAAGACTTATAAATTAGTTCGCCAAAAAAGTTTCACTTCTGACATGTGTACTTTGTACGCACGCACTTTTTTTTAGTTCCGAAAATTAAATCACGAGGAAATTAAACTTTATAGTCGGAAACAAGTCACGTACGGTTATCTGGCCGCAGACTGGGATCCCTTGTGTTATGAGAACCATAGATTCATACACATATTTACATACGGTTTCACATATATGTACATATAAAGGTACTAAATATCCAGATAACGTTCTACTAAAGTTATGTACTGAATTTGTTTAAATTATTTTTTAACCGAGCACATGTTTTTTGGAGTTTACTCCTTAAGAATCGATTTACATATATAGGCCCGGGGTATGAAAATTATGGGGACCAAAATCGTACTAGAGAGTATAGCATGTCACACGAAATGCGTTATGCGCCTGATTGGCTCCTGATTGCGTGATGCGTGCGCGCGCCAATCAGGAGCCAACGCGCGGCCGCGTTATCGCAGGTGACGCCGGGCTGCTGCGCCGGCAGT